AGGGAAAGACTACACCACTAAGATCTCAGCTGAGCTACTCTAATTTGATTCAAATGTCTAAGAAGGTTAGTTCTGGCAAAGACCTGGAAGCCATCCAATAGCACAGGAATACTTGTGAGTCACACAGAGAACACTTGGACAAATATGGCCTGGTATCTCTGTGAAAACGAACCCTGCTGCCTTGAGATTAATAAGGCTGGCTATTAAACCACTGCTAATAGAAGTATTTGGAAAAACTAGCAATGCTCTGTTGTTAAGCATTCTATAAAGAACATTTCAATTTATAAGAACCACAAAAGTAGTGCCTTTTGTTTTTATACCATATACCAACAACTCAGTATTCTTTATTTTTAGTTATAAAACTGCTGTGAGGATTACAACAGGACCGTTTGTTTGTTTGATTTTTTTTTTTTTAGGGTGGACTTAAATTACTAAGGATTGACTTTTCTATGTTCTCACTCTATAATCCCTCAGATAACTTTGTTTTTTTGTTTGTTTTAATTCCCTGGAGGGTATGTGTGCTTACCAGAGAGAGACTGGGGGTAAGAGGGAATGAAGAGGCATACTCCCCCCATGGGGAATGGTCACACAGCAGTCCCTTCTCTTCCATTTTCCCCTCCACTCAGATTTGGACTTGTGCCTGACATGTTTTTCAAGCCACTAGGTCTAGACTCGAACCACGGAGTCAGTCTGGTGGTATCCACCACCTTAACTATCAAGCCACGGAATAGCCCTAAAATATTTTTATAAGGTTCATATTATACATATGGATCTCTGAATTTGGAAAATTCAGAGAAAATTGCAGTGGAAACAGATTACCTTGGCTAAAAGAAGTGAACTTTGAGGGCCTTAATCTGCTGTTTGTTACACTTGTATGGAATGGAGGGTGCAGTATTGTTACATGGTGTAAGGTACAGTAATTTCCACATGGCATGTCCTAAAATTGATTTGTATTCACACATCTAGATGCAGTATGTAAAATTTTCCCTTTAAGATTAATTTTACATTTTCCAGCATTTAATATTTTTTATCATCTTTTACAAACCAAAATCCAAGTCAAAAATTCTGTGCTGCCCTATGACCTTTGTCTTCCCTCTTGCCCTCTGATCCACCTGCTTCTGACTGGGCATCTCTGAACACTCGGGCAGGAACCATGTGACCAAGCATGCTGGGTTCTTTCCATCCCAACAAACCTCCTTGTTAAACCTAAACGAAAGGGCGAGCCCATGCCATGGTGGGTAAGGCAGCTGGATCCCACACGTCTGACTGTGGTTCGAGTGCCAGACCCAGCAGCTTCAGGGACAAGCCTGGCATGTGTGCATGCATACTCAAAGTACCAAAAGGAGGAGGAAATGGAGAAGGGATTGCAGTGTGGCCATGCCCCATGGAGGGTGCTTTCTCACTTTCTCTCCTCTCTCTCCAGTGAGTGCATGTGCCCTCTGGCAAATCAAATTGTTCTAATAATAATGATAATATACCTAACTGAAGAATGTAGGTACTGATGTTAACATAATGAAATCTGGTTTCCCTGTAGAGACAAATATTAAAAATGAACATGGCAGCCTCCTAGAAGTGGATACCCCAAGGACTGAACATCTTTGAGTCCTGAGATGCCACTTTGGGTATGACACAAGGGACAGAGAAACTGAAGGTCCTTGATGCTCTGTGTGTTGGATCAATGTCTGATCCCCTTTCTACAGAAGCCAATGGCTTGATGAAGATACTTAGGAGCTGGTGGATGTGGAGAAGGGATTTTTCCAAATATTCAAGTCCTCTGCCATCTTCTGACTTTTTTCTCCCAAAACTAAAGTACAAAGAGGTGAATTGTCACAGGGTTCCTGAAATCCAAGTCTCAAGACTGAGAGGTACCCAAGGATTTGGTTGCAGATTTCATTTAGGAACGGAGGTACAGCAGGGTCTTCCTTAGACTGAGAAGGGTAGCAAACCCACACTAGCTAGTCTCACAGAAACAGAGGAGATGCCACAGTTGACGTAGGGAGAAAGGCGTCCAAGAGGTCATACCATCGTCTTTGAGATGAGGCTAGACACCAATGACTTAAAGATGCCTTGCAGCCCAAAGGTCTGGCCAAAGGTCTTTTCCAGAAAGACTCACAATGCCAGTGTCAGGCTGTCTGAGTGGGGCTAAACCATGGATTCTGTGTGATAAGGGGGCAGGGAAGCAGAAGACGAGGGCCAAACAGTGCTCAACCACCAGGGAATGCTTGTGGAGCCAAGATGCCATGAATGCAATGTTGGCAGAAAACTGTGCCTAGCTCAGTTGTCACTGAAGAGTAGACAGCCTCCCCCATCTACCACCACCCCCCAGGAGACCTGGCTTATAGATGACCCAGAGCTACACAGTCTTCAGATCTAATCGCTTGTAAAGCACCGTGTTGATGAAGACAAGAAATGGGAAAACTCTTACAAAACTCATATTCTAATGATCATCACGTGGTTCTGCTAAAACTATAAAGGTATGAATGTGGGAATATTCTCATCCTGAGTGTGTGCTTTGTTTAACAACAAATAATTAAAAATATAGAGATGTTTTATAAATACAATAAATATGAGAGCACTTTCAGTGAGTTGCAGTTCTCTTCAACATCAGATAATTTATACTGAAATGACACTAAAAATATAATGAATATGAGAAAGCCCTTCATAATACTGTTGCTTCCTCCTTAAACAATCCAATGTTTACGTGAGAGAAGAAAAAAATGTATAAAAGTGTCAAAACAGTTATATCTGAGCTTCTAAATACTGGTGAATTCATATTTAGGAATAACTCCAAGTAACGACAAAAGAAGAAAAGTCTCTCAGATTTATCATCCAAGACAGTTAAAGCGGCACTTGTCTCTCTTTGAAGCCTTGGAGAAGGAGAATGAGAAATAAACTCTTTTCTCTTTTGAGTTTTCTTTTATAAGAAACACCACAACTAGGGGGTGGCAGGTGGTGTTTAAGGGTGCTGGACTCCCACATGGCCAACCATGGTTTGAGTCCTGGATCTGGTGGTTTGCTTTCTCACTTCTCTCTTTCTCTCTCTCTCTCTTTTTCTCTCTCTCTCCCCCTCCCTCCCTCCCTCCCTCCCTCTCCCTCTCTAGTCAAATTAAAATAGATGAATAAATAAATAAAGTTAAATAAAAAATAATTCTTAAAAAAAAAAAAGAAACACCACAATACCACAACTTCAGGTGGAGTGCATGCAGTTAAGTAAGACCATGAGGGGCTTGCATGTCCCACACAGATCATGTTCTATTTGGCTTCCTTCTAGGGAAATTATAATGAAAAATATACTAGT